TTTGGTACAATGACTCTGTGTATTCCTTCCATCTTTTCTTGATGCATTCTGCATCATTCAATAATTTGCCCAGAGAATCTTTCAATAATGAAAGTCGAGGGTTGAATTTTTTCTTCAGTTCCCCCAGTTTGAGAAATGCTGACCGTGTTCTTCCCTTTTGATTTTCTAACTCTAAACAAAAGATACTAATTTCTAAATAACTTACCCAGTGTGAGAACAGGCAAAAAGATATCCCACAGATGCTAAACCGTTAGATCAAGTTGCTAATAATATAAACAATGTGAGCAGGCAACATTTACATGAGCACAAAATAAAGGCAATTGTGGTATCTGAGATTAAATCGGTAAGTGATTTCATTTCCTTTGGTGTAGCAAAATAATGGGACTCCTGGTGTGGCGCTGTGGGTTAATATGCTGGACTGCAAAGTTGATTTGAACTGCAAGGTCGGTGGTTCAAACTCACCAGCCGATCCTAGGAAACCCTATAGAGGGTTGCTATGGGTCAGAACTGATTCGACAGCACTTAACAGCGTTAAAACAGTAGCACCTTCCAGTCAGGATGTGGGACTGTAAATGAAGCATCTGGCTCCTGTAACTCTCCCCTGATCTGTAGGGAAGGCCAGGTACTGGAACGCCTACAGGCTGACACACACCAGGCTTGCGCGGCAGGTTTCACCACCTATATGTATTTTACAATGACTTGTATGGGAGTTCAGACTTGTGAAGGTTAATGGACTGTCTCATTTGGCAACAGTAATTTATCCAATGGTCCAAACCAGAGAAGCAGATACAAGCCTGAGTCCCTGACTCTTGCCCCTTGGCCTGCACCATCATCTCCACCATCATACAGAGAAAGCAGCCACTCTAAAAGGTCGAGCGCATAGCACTGTTTATATTTCCCATCTCCATGGAAACCTGCTCCCAGACCTCCTCTGAGGAGTGACTTCCAATTGTGTTACATTGAAAGTGTCTTTCTGACATGTGAAATCCTGCTCATTAGAACTGAGCAGAGACTAGGAGACTCATCTAAAGAAACAAATAATGGCCACATGCCAGAAACGCTGTCTCCTCCCACCCTGCTACAAAATATACTAACATCATTAAAAATAGTAAAATTAATAAAGCTATCCCTAATTTTCTGTGTTTATACAAAACACCATGCCTTCTAATACACAATTATATAACTTCTCAAAACCTACTCAAACAAGGTGATCAAAACAATGTAATACTCTTCTGAGATAAAGTTTTCAGAGAAATTATAAACAGACACTTGCTCGAAGTATTAAAAAAGCAAACTTGGACATTTTTTTATATACAGTCAGTGTCTTGCCGAACTAGAAACTGGGATAACATAGTGTAGGGTTGCCTTGGGGTTTTAAAAATTACCCATCACACAAACAGAAACCATTCAAGGAGAAAATAGTTGCTGTTGATTCTGTCTCATGGGAACTTCATGTTATGTTAGAGTTAAAACTGTGTGTGCCACAGGGCTTTCAAAGGCTGATTTTTTCAGAAGCTCACCACCAGGACTTAGGAGATGTCTCTGGGCAGACTTTCAGTTAGTAGCTGAGTGCATTAGTCATTTGCACTACCCAGAGATTCCATCACAGGGAGAGACCATGAGAAAAATGTGGCCACTTCTTTTAGCTTTCTTAGTATAACAAATGGAGTCCTGATGTGGTGCTATGGAATAAAGCACTGGACCAAAAGGTTGTTTGAACCACAAGGTCGGTGGTTCAAACTCACTAACCACTCCTTGGAAACCCTACACAGAGTCGGATTCATCTCGATGGCACTTAACAACAATGGCACTTATAAGAAACAAGATCTGTGTGCTCTTTCAAGAAAATATAGTCCCTGTTGTGAATCCCTTGGGTGGTTTTCTTAGTTGTGTGGAGTCCTGGGGTGAGGCTGTAGGGTAAGCACTGGACTACAAAGTCAGTGGTTCAAACCCACCAGTCACTCCTTGGAAACCATAATACAGGGTCTCTATGAGTCAGAACTGACTCTACGCACCTACCAACAACAACGTGCAGACAGAGTTGGTAAGAAATACTGAAGATGAGTAAAAGGTGCTCGGTCGCTTTCAACTCCTATAAAGGGTGCTCTACTCACTTCCTCACAGGAGAAGGATGAACTGGTTTTACAAATCACCTCAGTTTTTTGCACTAAGATTTACCAAGAAGCTTGTCGTTAAGTGGTATTCTGTACAGGGTTTCCAGGGAGCAGCTGGTAGAGTTGAATCACCAACCTTAAGGCTAGCAGTCCAGTGCTTATCCTACAGAGCTGCTGCTGCTGGTGGCGGTGTCCTGTAGAGTTGATTCCGACTCATAACAACCCTGTATAGGGTTTCCAAGGTTGTAAATTTTTACAGGAGCAGAAAGCCTCACCGTTTATCCCTCACAACAGCGGGTAAATTTGAATTACTGATCTTTCATTTAGCATAGTAATGCATAATCACTACACTATCAAAATTTAGATGAACCCATGCCTTCTGTGGCAGAAAAATAATTATAGTGAAATAAGTCAGAATTGAAATAAAGTACTACACTCGTGGAAGCAGCAGTCAAGAGATCAGACGACGTATTGCATTGGGCAAATCTGCTGCACAGGAACTTTTTAAAGTGTTGAAGAGCAGAGATGTCAGCTTGAGGACTAAGGTGCGCCTGACCCAAGCCATGGTATTTTCAATAACCTCATATGGATGCGAAAGCTGGACAGTGAATAAAGAAGATCGTAGATTGAGTTGTGGTGTTGGAGGAGAATACTGAAAGTGCCATGGACTGCCAAAAGAACCAATAGATCTGTTTTGGAAGAAGTGCAGCCAGAATGCTCCTTGGAGGCCAGTATGGCTAAGCTTCGTCTCTCATACTTTGGACATATTGTCCAAAGTATGAGAAAGATGGATGTCATGCTGGGTAAGATGGAGGGTCAGAGAAAAAGAGGAAGACCCCCAACGAGATGGATCAGCCAGGTGGCATCATTGATGGCGTCAAGTGTGGCAGCGGTGGTGAGGTTGGCCCAGGATCGGACATTGTTTCGTTCTGCTGTGCATGGGGTCGCTATGAGTCGGTTCCGACTCGATGGCACCTGACAACAACAACAACAATAAGAACTACATTCTAGTTAAAGTTCTTTCCCATGCTGATTGAGTAATCTGTGGCCATTAGCAGCCTCAGTACCTTTGTCTGTAAAACAGGGTAGCAATGTCAGCCTTGGATACCTCACAGAGTTATTATCGAGCACAAATGAGTCAATTCACACGAGAATGCTCCAGCCGGCATGCTCAAGTACGTGTATACATCATACACCCGGGAAATGCAGATTCTGGTTCAGTAAGGTCTGAGAGTCTGCATTGCTATTAAAGTCCCAACCTCCCTTAAAGGCAGGCCAGAATACACTCACAAAAAAACCCAAAAATCATTGAACACATTCAACAATCATCTATACAATGAAATGAATATTTTTTAACTTGTATAGAATTTTCTCCTTAGTGAATCAGTTTTTAAAAATGATTGTTTTTGTTGTTAATTGCCATGAAGTCAGTTCTGACTCGTTGTTGGGAAGCTCTGTCGAGTTCGTTCTGAGACCTGGTGACCCTGTATAGTGGTTCCCAAGAAGAGCTGGTGAGCTTTGCAGTCCAGCATATTAACCCACAGCACCAAACCAGGACCCTTAGTGACCCTGTATTGGGTTTCTGAGGCTTTACATCTTCAAAGAAGCAAAAAAATCTCATCTTTCTCTCAGGGTGACTGGTGGGTGTGAACTGTGGACCTTGTGGTTTGCAGTCCAGTGCTTATCATGCTATCCCCCTCAAATTCTCACCAAAGACGAATTCATGAATTCTTCTAAATACACTCTGCAGAGCTTGCGATCCCAGTCATCTGTGATGTGGCCCCCATACATGATCTCACCAAAGAGGTACCGGAGGTCTTCCCATGGGACCTGGTAAGAAATTATAGGAATGGTCAAGTATCTGCCTCAGGGTGCAATTGGGGCACAAGGCCCTTTAAACCATAGGGCTTGCTAGCCTCCCAGAACTCAAGCATTTCAAAGAGGTTCAGAATTTGCCTAGGATTCTGTTTAGAACAGCTCGGGAGAATTATTTTCAAGGTGTTTTAATATATACAGTGAAAATTCACTACTACTGAGCTTATTATGCAGATTTTAAAGCAAACGGAATCGTCCCAGAAAATTTTATGCAGGGAAAACTTTTATATTACAAGGGTCATGCAAAAATCATGAGAGGATATTGGCTCAAGGGCTGTGAGTTACTATGTATTTTACTTACTTGATTTGTATCTGTTTTTATGATTTCATTGAGGAAAAGAAAGAAAAATCCATACAATTTGAATTCAGGGTGCATTTAGAATTACATCATTTTCTAAAAGACTAAGCAAATGCATCCCTTTGCCAGGACGACTTGAGGACTCGGTTTATGGCATGAGCGGACTAAATGGCTGTTCTATGAGTTGTAACTAATGGCTATAGGATGCTTTATTCAAGAAATCACTGGGTCTCATCTTTATTTGGCTTAGCAGGGTCTGAAGCCTCTCTTTGCTACCCTTTAGCTTCCTCTGGGTTTGCAAAACATGCCATTTTGTGACGAAGCCTTTCCAGACGGGAACCTTTATATCCTCAGGGGCAGTGCATGCCTCCTAACAGTTCAAGTAAAAACTTAATTATAGCCTTCATTTGTTACATGATGTGACAGAACAGAACAAGTAAAATGACTTCAACTATTTCAATGTACTTACTATGAGTTTATTTGAATTTGAATAAATGAACCTCAAATATGTCTTTCTTTTACACTGGTTTGATGTGAATGAAAAAATCAAGGAGAAATGACTAGACTGAAATACGCTTGCCCTACCACGCCGTCCACCGAGCTGAGCGGATGGGAGACACAAAATGCTTAATTTGATTTCCCTTCCTGATTACATTTAATTAATGTTTGCTGTACATGTATCTCTTTCAAGATTTTAATCAGCTAGGAATCTGTGCTATGCAATAACTGATCGTCTTGCACCAAATCTTGACCTACTTTGTATAAATAACTTCTTGAAAGGAGTATTTTGTGCAATTTGTGTCTATATATTAATGTAATTCCCAAATCCTGGAAACTTGCTTTGTGATGTATGATAAGTGATTTAGGTCAATACCTTGGAGGGACAGGAGAGAAAGTTAAAAACCTAAAGCTTATGTTGACTCATGGACACCAGGGGGGCAAAGCAGAAGAATGATTCAGTTGGCCAACTGGGGTTACCAAGTTTCAGAATGCAGAGATGGAAAGAACACAAGTTTCAACTTCCCTTTTTCCCATTTCATTTCTATCTCAGTTGTGCGCCGGAGTCAGAAGAAAGAGGATAAAAGCCCTAGTCTCAGTCTCATGGGCACAATATAAAGGGATTGAATAAAACTATTAAATGGTTAAAGAGCCCTCGTGTTGCAGTGGGTTAAGCTAAGTGTTGGGTTGCTAACCACAAGCAGTGCTTCAAACCCACCAACTGCACTGTGGGAAAAAGGTGAGACTGTCCGCTCCTGTAAGGATCTAGAGTCTTGGAAACCAAACTGATCAGGCTATCCTATGTTTTTTCTACCCAGGAGTGTTATCGAAATCAATCTTACGTGCAACAGCATAAACCAAACTTGGTGAGAACAACACAAAAATATTATCACTATTGTTGTTAAGTGCTGCCAAGTCAGTTCTGACTAACAGTGATCCTACACAGGGTTTCTGAAGCTGTAAATCTTTTCAGAAGCAGAAAGCCTCTTCTTTCCTTAATTAGCAGCTCGTGGGCTCAAACCACCAATCTTGTGGTTCACAGTCCAGTGTTTATTCTAAAGAGCAACTGCACTTCTAATTATTATTGTTGCTAGAATGGTCAAAAATATGCTCAACATAGGTAGATTTACTTTACTGTAATAAATATGAAAAATGATAGAAATTAAATAACTTTTTTTGGGAAAAAAAACCCAATGTTATATACCAAGTGTTCATACTACTATAAAAGTAAACCACTTGTGAAACTTGAGAAAATATTGATAACTAAAATGGTGGTAATAATGGTTATCAAAACAACCATTTATACTTGAAGGGTTGTTGTTGCTCTTGTTAGGTGCTGTTGAGTTGATTCTAACTCATAGTGACCCTATGCACAACAGAACAAAACAATGCTTCATGCTCTACCATCCTCACAATCGTTGTTAAGCTTGAGTCCATTGCTGCTCCTACTGTGCCAATCCATCTCATTGGCGGTTTTCCTCTTTTTCACTTAACTTTTACTGAACCAAGCATGATGTCCTTCTCCAGGTACTGGTCCCTCATGACAGTATGTCCAAAGTATGAGAGATGAAGTCTTGACATCTTGGCTTCCAAGGAGCATTCTGGCTGTAGCTTTTCCAACACAGATTGGTTTGTGCTTCTAGCAATCCATGGTACTTTTAATATTCTTCTCCAACTCAGAGGCATCAATTCTTCTATGATCTTCCTTATTCACTTTCTAACCTTCCTATACATTTGAGGTTATTGAAAATATCATGGCTTGGGTCAGGCAAACCTTAATCCTAAAACTAATATATATTACTCTTGAACACTTTAAAGAGGTCTTGTACAGCAGATTTGACTCCTTTGATTTCTTGACTGCAGCTTCCATGAGTGTTGATGGTGGATCCAAGCAAAATGAAGTCTTCGACCACTTCACTCTGTTCTCCATTTCTCATGATGTTATTTACTGCTCCAGTGGTGAGGATTTTTGTTTTCTTTACATTCAGGTGCAACCCATTCCAAATAATGTTTATTCTAAATCCTTTTTGCTTTTAGCAAGCAAGGTTTTATCATCTGCATATTGCAAGCTGTTAATGAGTCTACCTCCAATCTTGATGCCACTTTCTTCTTCATATAATTCTGATTCTTGAATTATTTCTTTCACCATACTTGTTCATACAGAAAGATTACAACCCTGGCCCACACCTTTGTGGTGATTTTGAACCATTCATTGTCTCCTTATTCTGCTTGAATGACTAGTCTTGTTCTATGTACAGGTTCCTCATGTGGAATATTCATTCTTTGCAATGTGGTCCATAGTTTGTCATGATCCATAACTCAAAAGCCCTTCCATAGTCAATAAAACACAGGTTAACATCTTTCTGGTATTTTCTGCTTCCCGCCATGATCCACCTGACATCAGCAATGATATCTTTTGTTTCATGTCCTTCTTTGAATCCTGATTGAAACTCTGGCAGTTATCTCTCAATGTAATGTTGCAGCCATTTTTTAATTATCTTGAGCAAAATTTTACTTGCATGCAATATTAATGATATTGTCTGATGATTGTCACATTCCGTTGAGACACCTCTCTTTGGAATGGGCAAAAATCTGAATCTCTTCCAATCAGTTGACCACGTTTCTGTCTTCCAATTTTCTTGGCATAGTTTAGTGAGTGTCTCCAGTGCTGCCTCAGTTTGTTCTTTGCCAATGCCTGGAGTGCACCTTGAACTTCTTCCTTCAGTACCTTTGGCTCTTGGATCGTATGTTACCCCTTGAAACAGTTAAACATCGACCATTTCTTTTCGGCACAGTGACTCTGTGTTTTCCTTCCATATACTTTGGATGTTTTCTGCATCATTCAGTATTTTACTCAAAAAATCCTTCAGTATTTCAAGTCAAGGCTAGAATTTTTTCCATGTTTCTTTTACCTTGAGAAATGTTGAGAGTATTCTTCCCTTTTGTTTTTCTAACTCCAGATCTTTGCACATTTCATTGTAATATTTGACTTTGTCTTCTGGAGCTGCCCTTTGAAATGTTCTGTTCAGCTCTTCTATTTCCTCATTTCTTTCATTTGCTTCAGCATCTCTACACTGGAGACCAAGTTTCAGAGTTTCTTCTGACATCCATTTTGGTATTTTTTTTTCTTCTTAATGTGCTTTTGCTTTTTCCTGTATAATATTCTTGATGTCCTCCCATGATTCTTCTGGTCTTCAACCATTAGTGTCTAATGCATCAAATCTGCTCTAGTACACGAGCTGTGCTTGTGGATGGTCTGTTCCACAGTCTTCCCCTGCCTTGTTTTGTCTGATGTCCTAGAGCTTTTCCACTGTCTCTTTCCACATATGTAGTCAATTTGATTTCTGTGTATTCCATCTGGTGAAGTCCATGTGTATAATGGTCTTTTATGTTATTTAAGAAAGTTATTTGCAATGAAGAAATCTTGCAAGATTCTATCGTGTCATCTCCAGCATCATATCTATCAAAGGGCCATATTTTCCAACTGATCATTTCCTTTTTGTTTCTAACTTTTGCATTCCAGGCACCAGGAATTACCATTTTATCTTTATAAAATGTTTGATAAATTTCAGACTGAAGAACTTAGTAGAATTCTTCAGTTTCATCTTCACTGGCTTTACTGGTTGGTGTATAAATTTTGAATATTAGTGGTATTAACTGGTCTTCCTTGTAGCTGTATGGATACTATCCTATCATAGACAATATTGTACTTCAAGATAGATCTTGAAATGTTCTTTTTGATGATAAATGTGAAGCCATTCCTTTCAATTTGTCATTTCTAGAATAGTAAACCATGTGATTTTCAGAGTCAAAAAGATTAATATTAGTCCATTTCTACTCACCAATGCCTGGGATATCAATGTTTATGCATTAGATTTCATTTTTGACAACCTCCAATTTTTCTAGATTCATACTTCATGTATTTCATGTTCCTATTATTTATGAATGCTTGCAGCTATTTCTCATTTTCAGTTGTGCCCCAGTGGCCAATGAAGTTCCTTTTGGGACCTCTACTCCATTCACGTCATCACAGTCAACTCTACTTTGAGGAGGCAGCTCTTCCTCAGTTGTATTATGAGGGCTTTCCAACCTGAGGGGCTCATAATCCAGCACTGTGTCTAATAATGATCTGGTGCTATTCATCATGTTTCAATATTTAATAGTCTGGTGCCATCTGACAGTGTTTCACTGCTATGTACATGGCTTTTGGTAGCTAAACATTCCAAAGCAGTCCACTTCTTCTTCTTAGTCTGGAAACTCAGCTGAAACCTGTTTATCCTGGCTGAGACCCTGCCAACATTAAAAATATCAGTGGCATAGCTTCCAGGATCACAGCAACATGCAAGCCACCACCCTTCGACAAACTGACAGACGAATGGTTTCCAGAAAGAATTACACACTTGGAATACATCACCTGACTGGTTTTGAAAAATGTATAACAATTTGAAGAGATTTAGCTTATTGGACAGAGTTACCCTTAAAAGGATTAAAAACAAGGAAATTCTTAGAATGGTTCTTCTTTTTTGAATCCAACCTTTAGGTTCCTAAGAGTTTACATTAAATATTCTTAATGAAGCATTCTTATCCCCATCTGTAAAATTCATTTTAGCGATGAAATAAAATCATTCCTCTACTTTTAACTTCAAATCAAGGGGACCATTACTGAGAAAGTCACAACAAGGTGGCATCCTTAATACATAATAATGACATATGCAGGAAATGCACCATTATTTATACATGTGACGCGCGGTAAATTGCTTCCATCATCAAAACTAATTGTAGTGATTATTAATGCAGTGTTATGAACTGTCAGAATTGCTGTATGTAATTACATTTGTGCAAATGCTTCATTACCTGCCTAATGAATCTGGCATATATGCACATGTAAACCACTGTTTTTGTTAACATAATGAAGGACATTTTTTTTTGGCGGGGGCACTAAGCTGCTGATGTGGAACTGGTTTGACCTACGTTAAGAAGTTCAAGCATCCACTACTGGGAAACCTTTGATCTGGTTTATTTTCACACTTGGCAGAAGATGCATGGGTGGTGTCAGCTATTTCAATAATAGCTTCAGAAGAGACATTATGGCCCATTTTGATAGCACCCAAGGACTGACAGATCCAGTCCACTCCTCAGAAGAGGTTATCTGACCACTCACACTTACGTTAGGATTTGTTTCTAAATAGTTGTAGAGGATATTGGCACAAATGGTGAGGTCTCCCGAATTGAAGGGATAGCTGCGGCTCCAGCCCTGGGGGCCAAATCGTAGTCTCCCAGCAACACAGGCATGGAAGTAGCACAGAGAAAAGAGGATGCTTTTAAACTCCTGCTCCTTGGAGCAAATTTCAAGTGTTTCCTGGGAGAGAAGAAAAGAAATGTTTGATTATCCTTTGTACAGTTTCCAAGGGATAGGGTCTGAGTTTTCAGTAATTGAGTAAAGGATTTTCAGCAAAATATAGAACAGAGCTAGCACTCACTTTAAGCCTGAGCACATATCCTATCCACCACCTGCCAGACGTATTGCATTAGGCAAATCTGCTGTATATGACCTCTTTACAGTGTTCAAGAGTCAGGAGGTCAGTTTGAGGGCTAAGGTACTCCTGACACAAACCATGGTATTTTCATTTGTCTCATATGGACCATGCATAAGGAACACCATAGAATTGATACATCTGTGTTATGATGCAGGAGAATATTAAAGAGACCATGGAACTTCCAGAAGGACAGACAAATCTGTGTTGGAAAAAGCACAATTAGAATGTTTCTTAAAAGCCAAGATGGCAAGACTTCATCTCTCATACTTCAGACATACTATCAGGAGTGACCAGTCCCTGGAGAAGGACATCATGCTTGGTAAAGTGGAGGGCCAGTGAAAAAGAGGAAGACCCTCAGTGAGATGGAGTGGCACAGTGGCAGCAGGAATGAGCTACAGCATAGCTAGGATCGTGAGACTGGAGTAGGACTGGGCAGTGTTTCATTCTGTTACGCAAAAGGTCACCATAAGTTATACTGACTCGATGGCACCTAACACCAACAGCAACAACCTGCCAGTTTGCCCAAGTGTGGTGATTTGTGTGTTGCTGTGATACTGGATAAAGCACTGGACTGCAAGACCATTTGAACGGCAAGGGTAACGGTTCAAATTCATCTGCTTTTCATTGGAAACAATATACAGGGTCGCTGAGTCAGAACTGACTTGAAGGCACTTAACAACAACAATAGTGGAAGCCAGCAGGATTACCCATTGTGGATAGGTTTTAGCAGAGCTTCCAGACTAAGAAAGACTATTTCCCAAAATTAGCCATAGAAAACACTGGATCACAACAGAATATTGCCCCTTAGAGGCTGGAAGATGAGTTCCCTAGGTTGGAAGTTACTCAGAGTACACAGCAGTCAAACCAGCAACTGTGAAGATGATGCAGGACGTCACATGGGCAACGTCTTGTTCCATTGTACACGGAGTTGCCTGTATCAGAGCTGATTCAACTACTGACAGCAACAGTTTATCCAGTGAAAGTATAAAGGGGACCATCTATTAGGCATTTGCCAGTCTACTGATTTGAGGGAAATCTTTTAATTATGCTTTAGTGATTCATAAGAATGTTTCTATACTCACTAGAGAATAGACGACTCATTTTGGCTAGTTGTAACACTGCTTGACATTATTTTTTCTCCTGTACATTTTTCTTTATAAATTAATAGATGTCAACCATCTTACCTTCATCACTGTGACAGAATGCTAACTAACCACAGCTGACCATCCATCTCTGGTTCCATAGTACCAGAGATTAGCTGAACTCATCGTCACCTATTGGAAGATTGTTTCTCAACCTCTCTGGAAGGTAGATGTGCCATATGACAAACTCATTATCCTTATAATGTGAACAGAACTGATGTGTGTATCATGTCATTTGCTTAAAAGGAAATTGCTTTCACTGACTAAAGGGTAGACACATCTAGCTTGCGTGATGGGGAAGACAATATAGAAGCAAAGGGAGGTTGGCAAAAGAATGTTGAAGACAGGTGAAGACACAGGGAAGTATGCAAGGGTTACAGAGGAGAGCGGTAAATACACACAATCCTGGAACAACAGTGTTCTGTATGTAGGTACATGGACAGACATATAGGCTGAATCAGTATAGGAAGGAGAATTGGATTATACCCACAGATACATGAGGCTTTGAAAGAGAATGTTTGTACACATGCATTTACCTTGACTGCAAACACAAAGATGAATGTGGTGGAGCACACAGGGGCCAAAATGATGAAAATGTCTTTGATATTATTAAACATCTTAAGGCAATGAGTTCCTCTGCCTGGGGGCTCAGAACCATAGTCTCAGGGGACACCATGGTTAATTGGCATACCATAGTCCACAAAGACAATCTTCTACATCCTACTTTGGTTAGTAATGACTGTAATCTTAAAGGCTCATGAGAAGCCATCTAAGCTGCAACTATTGGTCTCTCCATGTGCAGAAGAAAGAAGGTGCTTGGAATCAACTGGCCCAATGGACCCATGGGACCATGTGAACATCATTCTCCATGACTCTGAGACCAGAAAAACTAAATGGTGCCCAGATACCACTACCAACTGCTCTGAAAGGGATCACATTAGGAGGATAGAGTGGAGGAAAATGCGGAACAAAAGTAAAATTTATTTTTTTTAAAAAAGGCTGGACTTACTGGTCAGAAAGAGACTTGAGAAACCTGAGACTATGGCCCTGGATCACCCTTCAGGTCTGGAAAGGAATTCATTCTTGTGGCCCAATTTTCAGCCAAGCAGTAGATCGGCATAGATGGGGGACAACAATCCTAGTAAGGTATGCTCACCATGGAATGGTCAATCATTGAAAATCAAAAGGCCAACATTTATCTAAGGACAAAGTTGAGAAAGGATGGAAGGAGGGTGGAATGGAAACAGGAACCCCAGGGAGGAAGTGGGATAACTGTTGTTTCATGGAGGGGATTGCAATCTTTGAGATGAAACAAAGTGTATCATTTATTGACTACAAAACTGATGATATTCTCTGTAAACTGTCAGTTAATTCACAATAAAAACGAATATAAAATAATAAAATGAAACAACAGAAAAAAGAGACTATAATATCTCTTGTCCCACATTTGTGATAATGCCACAATTGATCAGTGGGTTCAGGTGATGTCACTCTTGATCACTTCATTATAAAGGTAAGTCCAAAAGTATTGCTACAAAACCATAGAAATTTTTATTAAGGAAATATATCAAAATGTGAAGCCATTGTTTTCAACATATCCTCCATACAAGTTTATACACTTTGGAAGATGGTATTCTCATCTCTATAGTACTGTAGGATGGAGTCCTGATGTAGCATTGTAGGAAAATGGACTCCTAATTGCAAGGCCAGCAGTTCAGACCTACAAGTCACTCCTTAACAAATTCTATATAGGGTCGCTATGAGTCGGAACTAACTCATCAGCGCTTAACAACAATAACAACAATGGTGTATTTTAAGAATTGGCCAGCTTACCACAAGGTTGAAGTTTCAAACCCTTCAGCCACTCCTTGGAAAACCTATATCGGGTTGTTATGAGTTGGAACTGACTCAACAGCACTTAAACAACAAAAGCACTTTCCCCAAAGAATTCTGCACTCTTCAATTTACACCACATCACAATGGAAGTTTTAAAGTCCTTAAGGGACTCAAACCAAGTTCCTTTTCAATATATATTTTTTTTAGTTTGGGGAACAAAAAAGACGTCTGATGGGACAAGATCAAGGTTGTAGGTAGATATGATAAGGTTTCCTAATGAAATCTCAGAGGGCAGCCCTTTTGAGCCTTCAAGAATGAGTAGATACATTATTATGATGAAAAAAAATTCTTCAGAGAAATTTTCCTGGCCTTTTGCTCACGAACGCAGTTCTCAATTTTCTGAAAACTTCTTTTTAATAAGTATCTGTGATCATCCTGTGTCCTTAGAGAAAATATATCAAGATACCCCTTTGGGATACCCAAAACAGTCATCATAACTGACCTCTCTACCTTGAATGTAAATGGCCTGGCCAAGCAGATCCTTTAGAAGCCACTGTTTTGATTGGATCTTTTTATATTTGAAGATGCCCTAACAAGACTAAGACTAGTGCATTACTGAAAGAATACATCTACAGCCATCCACTGACTGCAGAGATCTATTTGAGCATGTTTTTGTTTGTAGTTTAAGTCAGAACATTTATGAACTAGAATCCTTGTAGCAATACTTCTTGAGTTACCCTTCTACAGTTTCCTATAAACTCTAAACTAGTGATTTTAGTAGCCCCTGACTAAGGAGATTGCACTAATGGAGGGATCATTGCCTAGACCCATTATTTTATTGTTGTTAAGTGCTGTTGAGTCAGTTCTGACTCATGGAGGCCCTGTATAGGGTTTCTGAGGAGTGACTGGTGAGCTTGAATTCCCGACCTCGCGGTCCAGTGCATTCTCCTGCAGTGATGATTTTCTAATTATATTTTTCTTTTAAAATCTATTACGTGAAATTATTCTAAAAAGAAATTTACATAAACTATTCAGTTATCCCGAAATATACCTTGTATAGGGAAAACACACACACACACACAAAGGGAATTCTTACCCTGGCTGGTACTCTTCCCTTTCCTGTGGGCTAGAAAGGACGGTGATTGGGTAACTCTGGAAGCCATGAGTTAGGTATAATAAAGGAAGTACCCCACCAGTCTGGATGAGTGGATGAGCTCATGGAACAGACCTACCTATTATGTGTTAGAAAAACAAGCTTCTACCCTGATCAAATCATTGTATTTTTTCTTCTCTGTTCCAGTAGCTGAGCCTTGTATAGCCAATACAATCACCACAACACATGGTTTCTCCTAGTGAACTAAAGTGAAATGCATTGTTGGTATAACAGAACAACATATGGGATATTTGAAAATATAAGCCCTGTGAAGTTTCCATGAAAACACACAAGGAAAGTTGAGTCCTGGCATTCTACATTGATAGGTTATATTATAACACTAAAAGGGGCAAAACAGCTGCCTAATCTATGGTTTTATTCTTTCTCAGATTTGGCAATTATCTGAAGGGAAAAAGGAAAGGAACTTCACATTGACCACTACTTCTTTGGCTGGCTGTGGGTAGAAAGGGAACATAAGTCCAAAACTGTACCTTCCTGCCTTAGCCTTTAAGCTGGTTAAACTACAGCCAGTCCACATTGACAATGGATCCAACATTTTAACCATTTTATAAAAGTACATTTAGCACTGTTAGTTAGGAGTTCAGATCTGGTCTTCCAGAGAACTTCTGGTATAAACCAAGATGGGATTTGTTTTTGGGGGGTTTAAGACCAGAAGAGCTTTTCAATTCTT